AATTTAACAAGACCGCAATTCACATCAAAAGGTATCGAAAGAGGTCATCAAGGCGTCGGTTTGTTTATTACTAGTGATTTGGCTCAAATGAATAAAGGTTATCTTGAAATTCTCTCCGGTAAACAAGAATACGAACAAAGAGGTAATTTTTTTTGATGTGATTATAATAGAAATGCGTGGTATATATATATAAGTAAATAACAATATGCTAACAATGATGAATAATATATACATCTCACACACAGATACAACAGTGATGCGTATGCGTGGTATGGCAGAATGGAAAGGAACAATGGTACATGGTGCAATCAATCTCGACCAAGGTTTTAATTATCGGGAAGCAATGAAACGTTTTGAAAATCCATCAAAACTCCAAAATGATCGATTTTTTGTTTGTAATGTACATTTGAACGTCTACGGTCAACGAACTTTGAGAACCAGAGAACTTTGCGAAGAGATTATCCGAGATTTAGAATTGGCCGCCCAACGATCACCAAAAATCATTTTAGACTTTACCGAGATCGATGAAATTAGTCAAGCTTTCCGTGGTTTCCTACGACAATTCGTCGTCAATCATTCAAAAGTAAAACTCATGATCATGGTGCCATCTGATGCCGACGAAGATTTAAAAGAAGATTTACAAGAGTTGATAGAATTAGCAACTCAAAATAATGTTGAAGATGAGGATGAATAAATAAATAAATAATAGTTTATTAAATCTTATTTATTATAATAATAATATATAATAATTATATAATTTTTTTTTTAATTAATAAATTTACTAATTATCTCTCCATACCCATACTCATACATATTTATTTTTTATATATGCATACATTTCAATCATTTTTTCCATAAAAAAATTTTAAAAATATAAAATCATTTATTCATTTTATTTAGAATTTTTTTAAAAATAAAAATTTCTCTTTTCTCTCATATCATTTTTTTTATAAATATATAAATATAAATATTTTATAATTATTATAGATTAGTTTTATTTTTTATTTTTTATTTCATATTAAAAATTTTTTTTTATAATTAGATTTTTTTTTCTCTCGAGGAGTAAATAAACAAAAATAAAAATGTATTATATAATATAAAATAAGTTTATCAAGTTTTTATTATGATTGAATATTTTATCTTTCGGCCCGATTAATATCCAAAAAACATCACTCTCAAACTGATGTCTTGTTTTTTTCCGAGTTACCTATTATTAGCTATATGATTTTCTCGGTGGCTCAATAGAACCTTATCTTCTTTGTTTACAATCGGAATTTCATTGTTGTCTTATTCATCACTAGATAATAATAAATATTTAAATAGGCGGATGATTGTAAAAATTAGACTTATTTTTTTGAACTAAAAAAATTAATCAATACTGTTTTTAACTTAATTTGCATCTTCATCGTCAACTGCAAGATGAATCGGATGAATTTGTGTGGGTGAGAGATAATTGCAGATCGAGGGTAGCAGTCAAAGTGGATTTATGGTCTTTGACTCGACTTTTCAATTTTTTTCACTCCATCTTTACAGCTAGCTAGCTTGTATTTAAAACATGGAGTTAAATGATATTATTGAAATAGCAGGATAAAAACTCGTCTGAAAGAGAAATCAGAATATGAATCGTCATTGTAATTAGTAATGAGTTCCATTTAAAACAAGAAAGAAATTTATTCAACTTTTGTTAACTTTATTATTTGTTGTGATGGCAAAAAATGTTTTATCATAAATATTACATATTATTACTATTATTATATTAATATGTTAAAGTATTATCGAATGAATTATTTTCTATAATTACTACTATATTTATCTATTTATTTATTCTTATCTTAATAATATTCCCTTAAAAAGTTATAGTAATATCACCATTTGTAGTTTGCACATTCAAATTACTAGCTCCTTTACCAACGCTGCCAGCTTTCTTATTTGTTCCATCAGATGTCTTCACATCTCCATTAGTGGTCGAAAGACTATAAGTACCAGAAAATGTCGAACCCTATATTATATAAATAAAGGATCAATTAATTAACTGGTAAATAATGCTTTTGCTTGACACAAAATTATATAACAAAATATTCCAATAATCATCATATTACTTACAAAGTCAAGAGTAACATCACCATTACTACTAGTAGCACTAATAGTTGGTTGTTGTGCAGTTTTAATATTAACACCCATAGTAATATCTCCATTAGTAGTGCTAGCACTCAAACTACTCTCCAAATTCATCAATTTACTAACAGAAATGTCTCCATTAGTAGATTCAAAAGTGGCACTTGCCGCATTCAAATTGTTCGATTTAACATCTCCATTCGTGCTTTTCAATTTGATTGCTTTGGCAGACAAGTCTTGTATATATATGTCACCGTTAAAAGTGGAGGTTCTGAATTCGGTCGTATAGGGTACCGGATGACCTGCTACTACGATATCGTAATTGTCGGTTTCTACAGCGGTGGCTTTACTAAGAACTTGTGGCAAGATCACCTCGACATGTGATATGACACATCGACCTGGCACTGACAAATAAGTGGTCCAACCCCATTTATCATCGATAGCAGATCGTATCTTTTTTTTTAGGAGGAAAAAAAAAAAAATTTGAAAAGTGAGTGGAGAACGTCATAAACTGGAAATGGGATATATATATAGAGGATTTTCAAATTATGTAAAAATAAACTTACAATTGATAATACATAAGTGTCACTAGATTCTGGTGCAGCGTTTATAGAAGCATCTTCAGGTTTTGTAGATGCAATACGAACGTTTACCGTGGCATTTGTTGCAGTAGTAGTATTACTTTGTGTAATAGTTATAGCACTTTTCTAAATAAATAATGTATGCATGTATTGCATGTTAATATTGTCTTATATTCACCAATTAATTATACCGACATACACCCGTTTTTATTACTACTAGACTTACCAGAGTGATAAGATTTTTAAGTGAATCCACTTTAAAAGTGCTATAAACACTTGGATCGTAGGTAAAGGTGTTAACTGGCACAGTATCGATCTTACCATTAAGAGCATTACATGCACTAACATTAACAGCTGCAACAATCTATAAAAAACATAAATCTTATTATTATGATGATGTAAATGATGATAATACAATATATATATGTATACACATATACTTACAGCCAAGGAGATTATTATTGATAAAAATATACAACAGAAAATACCACAGCACCAACAAAGACATACTGGAATAAAGCAACAACAACATTTCCTTTCTATATAATTACACGTGAATTGTCACGTGGCATACAATTTCGAATTAGATAAAACAATAAAAATAATATTATTATTATAATAATAACGCCCACAACTTACTTTTATAATCCTTCTTAAAAGCTCCTCGAGTACCTTCAACAACATTAAATCTAGATTTATTATTAGAAGCACTTTCTTCATTTTCTATCTTGTTGTTGGTATAGTTGTTGTTATTGTATCCATTATTATCAAATGGTGGTGGTGGCGATGCTGGTGGTGAACTTGATTGTACTGTATATTTCTTTTCGGCGCTCATCTTAAATTAATTGTTTGTTTGATTAATTACTGGCTATTACGAACTAACTAATTTATAAATAGTAAATGTTGATATTATTAACAATTGGAGAATTCAAAAATTCAATTGAAAAAAAAATTTTAATCGAATTCTAAAGAAAAAAAAAAAAAGGTTTAAGGTTTGGAATTCTTCTTTTATACCATTTTTTTTTTTTTAAGGATACTAATACTATTACTGTAATTGTTGAATTATTATTGTTGTAATAATTCATAAATTGGAATGTTTGTGTTTGTGTCTCATCTAAATTTGGTTGGCACTAGTAAATTTAGTAAATTAAATAAATTAGCTTTTGTATCAACATGTATGAAATTTAATTGGCGGAATCGCGGGGGTTTTCTAGAAAAAGAGTGGCATAACACCAATGTCATATGATTAATTAATTACTTTACATAGAAAAAAGTTGGTTTTCTAGTAAATATTTAACAATATATGATAGATTTCTTGGTAAATTCCTCAAGAAATTGTCAAATTTAGAATATCATTACTATTTCCAGCCTTGCCTAGTAATTGTGTGTAGCAAAACTATTTGTTTACCTGAAAATAAAATTCTATTTTTATATATTTTATTTTATTTCGTGAATGGAATGTTAACGTCAAACAATTAATTTCTTGGATAAATCACCATATTACTATTCATTGATAATATCGTTTTTCTCGACAGTATGGTTCTCTTGGATAGAACCAGTCAGTTTTCGCTAATAAATCGTTTCTCATTCATTAGTTAATATTAATATTATTATGTATAAAAGAATTTGAAATTCGTTTGTATACTTTTAAAAATTAAAACTAATACGGCCTGAGAACAAGTTTCGATTACTCCGTTCTCACCCGCTTCCATTTTGGTAATTTCCATGTTTTTTAAAATTTTCTTGGCAACCAAGAAAATACAAATAAATATTTATTTTTAGAAATTCATTTTGCTAATTGGATTGTGCGGATTTAGATTTGGAAGTTAAATACACGGAATTGATTTGCTTTAGAGGTAGAGAAGAAGAATGTGCTACCGTATACAAAATTTTTACATTGGTAATATGAAAAATATTCCTAAACTTACTGGCAATTTGTTGATTTAAAGGTAGTGAGTGAGTAATGTTCTAGGACCGGGCTTCAGACATGTCCTTGGACTTTTTTAAAAATATTACATATGTAAAGGTAGTTTTGTAGAATTAGGATGCATAAGCATGTTTTACGTTGTGAAAATGGCTTACAGCAATATGCGCGATTGTATATATATATAATATTAATATTATAAATTTTTTTTGACTACAAATTATTTATCATCATTATATATATATATATATAATAAGTTATACTCCTTTTAGTATAAAAGATCATGACGCGAACACTGTTCATTTGCTATTTGCATAAGTGCGACTATGATGTATTCTTAATCCATTACACAAAAATTATTGGCGAACCTTTGTAAAACAATGGAAAATTCTATACAAAATAAAGTTTCACAATTTTTGTGTGATGTATCATATGGAGGGTTTGTAAACCATCTAAAAAAAACTTTGTCGATTACATCCTTATTTAATATATTTGTTTATGTAATAACTTTAATTTGTGATTCGCGCAAATAGAAGTGCGTACCCATAATTACAACATCTCTATATTTTTTTAATCATTGAAAAATATTACTCAAAATGCTAAACTTTTATGGCAATATTTTAAAATATGCTAATATTTATTTAATTCAAAGTTCAAACTCAATTTTTCTACATGTGAGCGATATAAATATACCAGTATAATATTCGTTTCTCCAAGATGGCATATATAAGTATATTAGCAGAAGAAAAAATACCTGTCGAAGCATTAATTAACAATACAATCATTAGCAAGAGTTTGATCAGCAAGCTCTTGGAATACAGTACAATAAAGCTTCTGATTATGTCAAAAAAGACTTGAAAGATGTAAATTGTTTAGTCTTACTCCGAAACCATAAAAGAAAATATTGGGGCATCAAAGCAATTGACCTTGAGATCATTTAATCATCAGAACATGCAACCTACATAATAATAATAAAAAGATAACATTCATTGTATGTTTGAAAAGAGTATTCCGATTATTTGTAAAATATATACCAATTCAACTCCCGATTTTATTTTTTGGCTAAAAATGAGAGAACTTTAATGTAAAAAAGAGAGTATGAGTTTCCGTATATTTTAATTGATCCGGATAAAAAAATGGCTGTGTGTCATATGATTAGATGTTCAAAAAGTTTAATTGGAACCATTGACTATGAAATCGTCAAGTCAATCACACCTCTCAAACCTTATACAGTTCACTTTCTCTATATAGCGGACCATTTGGCCTTGGAAGAATGTCTGTTATAGAATTAATTATTCAATAGTTTGTGTAGGAGTGATCAAAGTAAGCATTAAGGGCAAGGTCTATGAAGCTTGCAAAATATACTAATGAGCATTTTGTTAATTATCAATAGTTTGTATAGGAGTGATCAAAAGTAAGCATTAAGGACAAGATCTATGAACAAAATATACTAATAACGTTTATTAATTATTCAATAGTTTGCATAATATCTATGAACAAAATATTCTAACAAACGTTTTATCAATTATTCAATAGTTATATTTATTATTTATTTATGTATATAAATTTCTCTTTTATTTTAACTTATATTTAATAACATCACTGATAAATAATTAAAACAATTGCTCATTCTGCATTTCCAGGTATTTCTGACAGAGAAAATAATAAAAGTTATTTTTTACAATTAGTCAAAACAAAGAGCTATTAGAAAATGAAAGGAATATTGTAGAGAAAGGTATTATAGATGCTGGTTGCAATTCTTGATGATGGTTGCAACCATATTTGCGACATATAAAAATGGTTTGCGACGCCTGGTTGCAACCACCTTTGCGACCACTTTGGTTTCCTTTTTTGGATTGCGACATGGAACACTAAAAGGTATGTTTATAATTTCAAATTAAATAATGCAACTTATAAATTTGCTGAACCAAGAGAATGCAATAATTGTAAAACAATAAGATACTCTGATAAATATTGTGAAAAGTGCATTAGTCTACACTTACAGAGCCTTTTCAGTACTTGGACATCTGGTCACATGATTTCAACAGCATTCTTGTTTTCTTGGCACTATTGGAGAGCTTTGGGATTTTGCTTTGATAAATTTAAAACTGAAAATTTTAATGAAAGTAGTAATAATATTGGTGGTGGTGGTGGTAATAATAGTAATTCACAACAAATTCACCAATCACATCCATTAGCATACCATACAAGTAGAATATTAAATGATGAATTTGCTAAATTGAATTTAAGTAATGATAGCTTATTAAATTATGAAATATAATTTTAATGAGGCATTAAATTAATTGAAGTTATTAATTTAAATATGATTATTTATTAATTAATTATAATTATAATGATAATAATAAGTAGTTGATAAGGTTAAAGTTGGGGAATTGGATGAATTATTGATGGGTAGATAATTAATTATTTTCACCATTTAATTATCTTTTATATTTATTATTTAATTTTTTTTATTATTTCTAAAAGTTTAAAAATAAATTTGACTAATTTCTCCAATTCAGAAGAATCACACATTTTTACGATTGAATAATACATAATTTTCTTGATGTCAAAAATCAAATGTTAAATTCAAAATGAACAATACTACATTTCATTTTTGAAACATTTTCTTGAAGTTGATTGTATTTTTGAAAGATGAGATAATGTTTTGACTGAATTCGAAATTAAATATTTTAAAAGATCCATTTAACCAAATGAAACAAGGAAAAATGAACTCTCGATCTGGAAAATGCGTTACATTTTCTTTGTTTTTAACCCAGTAATTTATTCAATATTTTTTAGAAGGCTAATAATTAATGTGTCAGATATTAATTTTACTTGAATAATATTAAAATGTCACCATACTTTAGAAGTGGATTAATACGTAAAAGGTTTAATGAAATTGCTCATTCTGATTTTCCAACTAATTCTGACAATGAAAATAGTAAAAGTTTGTTTTTTTCCATTTAGTCAAAGAAAACCAAGAACTATCAGAAAATGAAAAGGAATATTGTAGAGAAAAGTCTATCTATAACATTGAATTAATGAATGCAATTAATAAATATGGCGAACCAAGAGAATGCAATAATTGCAAACAACAGCAAGATATTCTGACAAATATCGTGAAAAGTGTATTAATATACACTTACAGAGCCTTTTCAGTACTTGGACATCTGGCAATGAGATAATTGATAGTTTTATTCAAAAATGTCGGCAGTTTTCATTCATATCTTCCATAGAATGGATACATTAAACACTCTTTTCCAATACAATATTCCAATGTTTGTTAATTTAAGACTCAGCTGTTTATATAAACAAGCAATGATATTTTACCTCCTATTGCATATATTAAATTTGGTTTTTTTTTGTTATTATTTATGACTTAGCGAAACATGGGGAAAGTTTAGCTTATTAAAGATTCCTTGCAAGAACTATCAGCCCAGCAAGGCAATGTAGATATTTACGTCATTCACATCTCCATGGAGTTTCTTCTCCATGTAAAATTTCTCTTTCGGTTGCAACATGATGGAATCCATGGTTTGAAATGGTTGATTATACAAGAAGGCACCTATCATATTGGAATTAGGATGAGTTAACTAAAGATCAATCAGATGACACATGCATTCATTTTATTTCTATCCGTGCCAAACAATTTAGTTAATATTAAGATGCAAGTTGTTGTTCCACTTGTAGAAAGTCATAAAAAGCAATTATCTGAACCGAACTAACCAAAACTTTTCACATCTTATTATCCAAATGATTTTAATTCTATTTTCCATTCACCTTTTGAAGTTGCTCTTAACAAATTTAATGCATGCCCGAAATTTATATGGATCAAAAGAAAACATTTACAGTCCCTTGAAAAAAGTATCGCTTCACCTGATGATCGACGAAAATAATTGGATAACTTCTGTGATATAAAAAGT